TTTTTCACTTCGCATTGCTTTACTATCCCATCAACAACGGGAGTTAAAAATAAAAAAGTCAGGGGCAAAGAATATAGAGAAGATATATTCCCGAGGCCTCAGTAGGCTGAGAGATGCAATAGGCAACCACAAACCCAGGCCCACAACAACCTATCCTGCCATCAAAACTGAGAAGCAAGGAGGCCCCACCCAACTCAATAGCCAATGAACCTCCAGTTTCAAATACATTTGATCACGTTATAAATCTGTTGTCTGGCTGCACAAACAGACTTTGCTATCCTCACTCTTTCAACAAACTTCCTGAACCAGGTACATAGTGCTGGCACCGAGAACCCAGAGACGTGCGCGCGCGCGTGTGTGTGTGTGTGTGTGTGTTCCCCACCCTTAAGGAGCTCAGTTTACTGAGCATAACAGATAGTAAATCAACAGTTACACCAATAAATGTTTTGGGAGAGAGAGAGATGCAGGGTGTTCTGGAAGCCAGGAGGAAGGTCACCTCCAGGTCACAGAGAAGTGCAGGGTGGGGAAGGAAGGTGTCCAGAAAATCAGAAACTTGACCCGAGTTAGCGAAATGGGGAGCAGGGGGTGTGGGTCATTCCCAGGAAAGGGCCCAGTTCTGGCAAAGGCACCAGGAAGTGATGGCTGTTGAGAGGCCGGGCTGATGTGAGAAATATGGGTTAGGGAAAAAGTGAAATAGGGAAGGTGGCCAAAGGCCAGTTATGAAAAGACTGCAGGCCCGCTGTGGGGGTTTAAGTTCTATTCTATAAGCAATGAGGAGCCCCTGGAGAATTTTAAGCAGGAGAAAGCCATGATAGATGTGTGAGTTAGAAACATCATGCTGCTAGGAAGTGGAGGTGGACTGAAGGAGAACAAAAGTGTGCCCGGGGAGACCAACCAAGAGGCTGCTGAAACAATCCAAATGAGGAGTCCTAAACGAAGGGGTGGGCAGGGAGTGACAAATTAGAACACGGGCTCTTCCAGAAAAGGTAGCCAATGGAAGACGACAGTTGAGGGAAAGGACAAAGCCAAGGGTGACTCCTGCAGTCGACATGACTGAGGGGGTGCAGTCCCACCCCAGGCAGGCACCACAGGGAGACAGACACACTGGGTACCAGGCGAGGGCTGAGTTGGAGGTGCCCACAGGATAGGAGCTAGGAAGGAGGGCTGGGCAGAGGTTCTGGGCTGGATCTGCAGATCTGGGTGACTTCAGGAGAGAGGTGAACAGTGGATGAGCTCACCGGGGAAGAATACTGGGACTGACCAGAAAGGGATCAAGCAAAACCTTATTAAGCTAAAGGTAGAGAAAAGAGAACCAGCACAGCAAGCTGCGGAGTCGAGGTCTACGGAGTTGGAGGAGAACCAGGGGGTGGCAGGCCAGACAGGAGGGTGAGCAGAGGAGAGGGGCCAGGAGGGGAGCGCTCAGCCCTGCCAGAGGTAGGAGGCTGCTCTGGCCCCAGGAGGGAGCTCTCGCTGCGGGGAGCAGTTAGCTGGGTGTTAGCAACCACAGCCAAGCAAAAGAATTAAAACAGAGTGGACAGCTTAGACGACATATGTGCAGTCACCCCAAAGTGCATTATTATGACTTTTTTCAGAGGATTATCCTGCCTGCCTGACCTCAGACTGCACATCTCACCTGTCTATTCTGTCTGTCTCCCCTGCTGGCTCATCTGCCTCACGAGGACAGAACCTGTCCTGTGTCACCTGCAAAACTGCAGTGCCGACGGCCGTGCCTGGCACACAGAGGTGAAGCTCCTTGCTCCAAGTTGCCTGGCTCACTAGAAACAACAAATATTCAATCAGCACATGCTACACGCCTGATACCAGGCTGGATGCTGGGGGTACGGTGGGAAACAAGTCAACGCAGGACCCTGGCCTCGGACCTTGAAGTTGGAGGTGAGCAGAGAGAGATGCAAGTATTTAAACAAAAAGTAGATTATAACTGCCTTAGAGCTAGGACTGGAATCTGACTGTCATGCCTTCTAGTGAGATTTCCTTTCCAAGCCCAAACCTGCCACCTTCTGCAACTAAATGAAAATTTCAGCAGGGGAAACAGTTAGTGTTTGAAGTTTGGCCTTAGTCTCCCCCAAGGATCCCATACTGCTTCCACACTTTTAACAGACTCCTAAGGAGCAGAAATACCCACCACAGCCTCTGAATAGTTAACCTTAAGAACTCATTCTGTCTCCAGTCCTTCTATGTAAGTTAGAGGAGAAATTCCACACCCAGGTGGGAGAAAACAGAAAGTGGCCTAAACTAAGGGGGTCAGATAGGTCTGGGTTCAAATCCCTTGTAACCTCAGGCAACCTCTTGTGATTTAATTTCCTTATTGCTGAAGTGGGAACACTAATTCCTCTTTCACAGGTGGTTGCAAAGATGAAATAAAATGATACCTACAGAGTACTCGGCACTATGCTTGGGATATAGTGAGACTTCACTAAATGGAGGCTCCAAACCAGTTCCACCTGTTGCTTTTATGACTCCATCTCTAACTGCTATATTTGCAAAAACCGACCCAAAGACTACTCAGAATTCAAACCAAGGAACATACACTCGAAATGCTTGGCACATAAATTGCTATCTAGTTGAGCGACTTGAGGAATTATCGCAAATTCCCATACTTGGGCAGACTCTGCAGTAAGGAGTTTAATTTCCGTTTCTTGCTCTACCCTATTTTCTCCTCCAACTCAGGCAAATGCAACTATTTCCCCAACAGATCACATCTTGTCTCATGGCAAGGGTCCAAACATGGGCTAGATTCCGTTGGTGCAAGTTATGACAGAGCTCAGAACACCACACCTCAAAGAAAGCATAAGAACGCAATCACAAGCCCAAGGTACACACAAACTCCCAAACACACTTGGCTCCAGAGACGGACAAGAGAACTGGTCGTGGCTTGCTTTGCTTGCCTCAAAGCTAAAGAAAGGGTTATTTTGGCATGCAGACGCTGAAATCTTTGTGTCTCCGTTCTTTTACCATCCAAACTCTCCGTAAGTGGTCACTTTTACTAACGTAGCTGATTCTTTACCCGTCATTTATGATGGACCCTGTGCAACCTGGCTTCCTCCTCCCTTCCCCCCTCCCCACATCTCATTCTCAAGGCCAGCGGTAGCCACCTTGTCACCAATTCGGCAGCCTTCCCTCAGGTCCCTTCTCTGTGGTCTCTGCTGTCCCATCCTCTTCCCTTCCTGGGACTCTCTCCTTCAGCCCTCTGCTCATCACGGGGAGAACTTATTAATCCTATGGTTTCTGTTCTACACCTCTAGACCTACCCTTCCCAGCCCTGGCTTCAGCCCTGCGTTTCTTTTTTTTTTTTTAAAAGATTTTTTTTGATGTGGACCATTTTTTAAAATAAATAAATAAATTTATTTATTTATTTTTGGCTGCGCTGGGTCTTCGTTGCTGCGCATGGGCTTTCTCTAGTTGTGGTGAGTGGGGACTACTCATCACAGTGGCTTCTCTTGTTGCAGAGCACGGGCTCTAGGCACGTGAGCTTCAGTAGTTGTGGCTCACGGGCTCAGTAGTTGTGGCTCGTGGGCACTAGAGTGCAGGCTCAGTAGTTGTGGCACACGGGCTTAATTGCTCCGCGGCATGTGGGATCTTCCTGGACCAGGGATCAAACCCGTGTCCCCAGCACTGGCAGGCAGGTTCTTCTTCTCACTACAGTGCCACCAGGGAAGTCCCGATGTGGACAATTTTTAAAGTCTTTATTGAATTTGTTACAATAATGCTTCTGTTTTATGTTTTGGTATTTTGGCGACAAGGCATGTGGGATCTTAGCTCCTCAAGCAGGGATCAAACCCGCACCCGCTGCATTGGAAGGTGAAGTCTTAACCACTGGACTGCCAGGGAAGTCCCCAGCCCTGAATTTCTAATTGCCTACTAGACATATCCTGTGGATGAATCAGTACCATCTCAAATTCAGTGTATCAAAAACTGGACGCATCAACTACCCTTCTCCATCCCCAACAGCCACATTTCTGTCAATGTTACCATTGTGAACTATCAAGTTTAAACTTTCATCTTCTTTGGCTCCTGTCTTTAAAGTCTAAGAAGGCCATAAATCCTACCATTCTTCCTTTGCAATATCTCTCCTATTGGACCTTTTCTCCATTTTAAGCACTGTTAACCACATGACCTCACACCTAGATTGCTACTGCTGCCTTGGAACAGGACCCATGCTTCTTGTCCAGCTATCAGATGAATGCTCCTAACTTGTTACTTCGGCCATTTCACTTCTTTGCCTCAAATAACTTCAATGGCTTCCCACTGCCTTCAGGACAAAGTCCAAGTGCCTTAGCCCAGCACAGCATTCAGGGTCTAGAAAAGGAGTGGGCAAACTATAGCCCACAGGCCAAATCCGGCCCACGACCTGTTTCTGTAAATAAAGCTTTTTTGGAACACAGCCACACCGTCATATACATATTAACTATGGCTGCTTTCCCACTATAATGGCAGAGTTGAGTAGCTATGACAGAAACCATATGGCCTAGGAAGCCAAAAATATTTACCATCTGATCCTTTACAGGAAAAATTTGCTGACCCTGGTCTAGAATAGAATAATCAACCACCAGCAGATCCTGAAGAAGTTCTTACTCACCACTCCTTTGGATGAAGTTTTTGTTCCTGTGGGTCTTCCGCTGAGCCCACTTTCTTTACATCTTACACCCACCTTCTCAAGCCTGAAAAGCTTATTTCACTCCCCCCCGGACTTGTCCATCCTTCAAAATGCAGCCAAAGCCGCACCTCTCTGTGAGGCCAGCTGCGTCCATCCCCTGCACCCCTGGGTGTTTCTCCTCTGGCTTCTCCCTCTGCACCTACTGCAGAAACCTACAGTGGGATCCACTTCTCCTGTGGATCTTTTCCACCTATACTGTAGGCTTCTCTAGGGTCCAGGCTTGGTACCCTTCACAGAGCAGCACCAATGATAACTACCTTGCCCTTCATTCCAAATACCAATCCTTGACAGCATAATTTGGTAAGAAGGCATCAAACAAACTTACCAATGAAGGCCTAGCATTCCACATTTGAAAAGTTAAGCTTGGGTCCAAAAGCATGCACTCTAGCCAGCACCACCTAAAAGCCAATGAAATAAGAGTTTAACTTTAAAAGAGAATATTTACATGTTTTCTTTAAATTTACAACCCCAATAAGTTTTGATTTACTGTCCTCCCAGGATGTCTATTTCTGCTTCTCTGCCTAGAAAATACTGCTCATCCTTCAAATCCACTGGACAGCCTTTCCCTGGAAGCCATCCCAGTGTCCCTGACAGGCCAGGCACCCTCCTCTCGGCTCCCATGGAACCTCGGTGAGACATTTATGGTAACATGCGGTACAATGTAGCACAATTTCTTATTTGGGAATGGAGTCCCTAGACTGTAGGCTTATCAAGAGAAGCGATCTGAGAAATTCACCCCTTCCCTTACCTCCAGTGCCTAGAATACTACGGGCATTTAGACAGTCCTCAATAAATATTTGTAAAATGGGTGGAAAAATAACCTACTCAATTCATGAACACATGCCCAGGCATCTAAAATTCTGCTAGGCCGCAATTTTCATCAGAGAAATGCATGCTTCAATCCCACTGCTTTTAATAGGCAACGGGTTTAACAGGAAGGATTAATGAGATTAAGCTTCTAAATGCACATCTCTGGAATGACACTCCCATGGGCAGAAACCTTTAGAGGCTCCCAGAACCCAAGAAGGCAAGCCCAACTCCACAGCCAGGCTGCCAGGCCTGCAGCAACTGGCTCAGCCTGAGTCTGCAGCCTCAGCTCCTGTGATCTCCCCCAGCGGATGCTTCAATCTAGACAGATAGGACTGGTGCCCAGACCCTTCTCTCAGCATTCCTTCCAGCTGGATGTCTTCCTCCCCTTCTCTCCACATGATCTCCCTCTACTGAAATGACTTCCACTTCAACATCATATTCCCAACCAAGGTCATGGTGGGGCTCAATAAGATTTTTTTTTCCTTTCTGATTTTGTGTGTGTGTGCATATGTGGTGGTAAAACACACATAACAAAATTTACAAGCTTAGCCATTTTTAAGTGTGCAGTTCAGTGGTATTACACACATTCACACTGTTGTGCAACTACTACCAGTCATCTCCAGAACTTTTTTTTCATCTGCAAAACTGAACCTTTATACCCCTTAAACAACAACTCAACCTTCTCCCTTCCTCTCAGTCCATGGCACTCAAAAAGTTTTTGTGGAATGAATGAATGAATCATTGAACGAATGAAGACATGAATTAATCTGACCTCAACCCTCCCCACAAAAGCCAGAAGTACTGTCTGTTTCTGCTGGGCTCCCACGATACTATCTTCACATCTTTCTCAGACTTGTTTCAATCAATCTTAAATGACCCTTTTTTGCACACCTGTATTCTCCTTCAAGGCGGGAACTATGACTTATTTGAAAGGCTAAGTTTGGGTCCAAAAGCACGCATTTAGCTTCTCCTCCATGTTGTTAGATCCAAAGGGTGAGTCTGAGTCCTCCTCTTACAGCTTTTGCTACCAGTGAATCAAGCCCTCTTGTTTGACCACTCTCTTCACTTGGCTTCCAGGCTAGCACTCTGGGTTTTCCATCTACCTCACTGGCTGTTCTTTCCCTTTGCTGGTTCTTCCTCATCTCCCCACCTCTTAATGTAAGAGTGCCCCAGGGCTCAGTCCTGGTTCTCCTGTCTTCTCTGTATTCCTTCAATCACCCCCTGGGTGATCTCACCTAGTCTCATATTACCTATAGGCTGAGGATGCCCAGATTTCTCTCCAAGTGCAGACCTCACCTCTGGACTCCTGGCTAATATATCCTACTGCCTGTTTCAGGTAAGATGTCAAGTGGACAGGAGGTCTGTGTGAGATGTGTTCCATGTCTCAAACTTGACACGTCTCACACAGACCCCTGATCTTCCCCCAGACCTGCTCCTCCAGAATCTTATCCATCTCAGTTTAAGGCCATGGTCTTCCAGTTGCCCAGGCCAAAGATTCGGAGTCATTCTCGTCTTGTCTCGTCTCTTTCTCTCTTATTCTCTATCCAATCCTCTGGTTTTTACCTTCAAAATATATTCACAATGTGACCATTTCTCACCTCCTCCACCATTACCAGCCTAGATTATTGCAATAGCCTCCTAATTGGTGTCCCTGCTTTCCCTGCTTCTATTTTTGGTGTCACTCCCACTTCCACCCATAGCCTATTCTCAATACAGGAGGGAATCTGTTACAACATAAATCAGATTATGTCATTTCTTTGCTTAAAATTCTTGCAAGCCTTCCCAGCAAGGACAATGCCAAAAGGATAAATGTTTCCAGAGCAGACCTGCAGGCCCTGGGGCAGCGATGGGGGAGGCAGGGCCTTCAGGCCTGCATCTTCCTCTCAACCATCTATTTCTCGACTGGCAGTCCTGACACACCTCCTATTATCTGATTCCTTAAAGAAAAGAAACTTTTTAAAGGGAGAAAAGTAGAATCAATCAGCTTCCTTTTCCAGTTAGGACACCACAAGAAGCCAGTAACACCCACATTTCTTAAGAAGCAATAAGAAAGATATGTCAAGTCTGCCACCACTTAATGACTAGTTTCCAAAGAGAAAGCTAGCCTCTCAGGGAACAGTTGGTGCTGGTGGTGAGTCCTCCTGAAGCACCCCCTGCCCCCTCCAGCTGTTCACCACGCCCTATTTGCCTAATTGTCTCCAGACTCTGTCCCCCTCCTCAACCCCTGGACGCTGTGGCTGGAGGGTGAAGTCCAAATGACATAAGGATCCAAAGACTTGAATTAGCTCAGGTCTCATCTGTTCTCCCCAGAACTACAGCAGCAGCCTCTCTACCAGTCTCCCCAGCTCTCCTCATTTACTTATTTCCAACTACAACTTTACACAGTGATAATTTTAAGAAAACCTAAATTTGATCAAGTCCCCTGCTTTAAAACTCTCCAAAGAGTTCCTACATTGCCATACTATAAATTCTTCAGAAGATATTATACAGTGAACCATAGTAAATATTCTTTTCTATCTTCCGTAGATGCTTTTCTTCTGCCTTCTTCCTTAAAAGTCCTTGCTTGCGAGCCCCCTGGTGGCCTAGTGGTTAGGATTCCGAGCTTTCACTGCCATGGCCTGGGTTCAATCCCTGGTCGGGGAACTGAGATCCTGCAAGCCATGCAGTGTGGCAAAAAAAAAAAAAAAAAAAAGGCCTGGCTTGATCTAATGGGGGTGGGTAAACCATCCGGCTCAGATTAGTCTACTCCCTGCAACAGTGATAGGTCAAAAAGGATAAGCACATCGCCCAAGCTGGGCCAACCATAGCCTTTCTCTAGGATCAATATATGGATGCAGAGAAAGGAGTTCTCCCTTCACTGGAATTGGTAAGCGGGAGCTGTCAGCAGTGGTGCCCCCCAGGGAGGGTGGCCTGTCTGTAGTAGGAAAGACTGATGTCAACACACAAAGAATGTAAGGTGCCAGATAGACCACCAGCAGCATCAACTCCCATTCCAGAACCTCTTGCTTTTGTGAACTCCTACAGCACCCTTCCCAGTTATGGAACCAAGAACTACCCACTTATGCCTCAGCTAGCTGGAGTCCCAACAGGCCCGCCATGACGTTTCCTGTATCTGTGCCTTTCCCCACAATGTTTCCTCTGCCCAGAATGTGTGCTCCTTGGGTTTTACACAGCAGCCAGGCTTTCTCTGCGGAGCCGGCCCTGAAGGGAAGCACAGTTAGTCCAATCTTCCGGTCATGCTCTAAAAGGCCTAGAATATACCTACTCTGTTACACTTACACCACTCCCCTAGCTCCCCAATCTCCTAGCTAGTTGCCCAAGCTAGAAACCTCAGACTCACCTGGTCCTCGGACTTCCTTGTGGCCCGCATGGACTCTCCCTTCTTCCTTTCTGCCCCACGTCTGCTGTCGCAGTCCAGAAATGCATCCTCACCTCCCTGGGCCCAGGCACCAGCCTCCGGGTCTCTCTGCCACTCCCCTCCCCATCCCTCCACACTGCTGCAGAGTTGAACCTCCAACATCCCTCCTGCCACCTACAGAGTCAAACCCCTGGCGTGAAGGCCCTTCACACACTGGCTTCAACCCAATCCTCTAATTTCTCCCAACCACTTCCACTTCCAGGAGGATGCGGTAGACACACCTTTCCCTATTCCACCTGCTGTGCACAACAAAAACCCCTGCACGTGATATGTAAGACAAACAAGAGAGGACTCTGAAAGGCGGAGTGAAGAAGGCAGACCAGTGAGGGGCCTCAGGCCTGGAGGAAGGACACCATGGTGAGTGGCCTGCATTTTCTTTTTGCCTCACTTGGAACGGAAGAACCTGGAGATGCCAACAAGCACAGACGAAAAAGGCTCCAACAAAAGCTTGCTGCCTCGAGCAAGATAGACAACTTTTAGATAGTAACTGCCCTATATCAGCCAAACACCACAGAAAACCCCATGGTCCCACCCACACCCATACAACAAAGTGCAAATGACATGTGCAAAACTCATCTACAGCTAACCATACACTTAATGGTGAAAGACTGAATGCTGCCCCCCAGGATTAGGAATAGGCAATGCTGCCCACTCTTACTCAGCAAAGAGCCAGCACAAGAGGCAACAAACGGAAATAAAACAGATTGGAAAGGAAGAAATCATCTGTATTTGTAGATTATGTGATTGTCTAGATAGAAAATCCTGTGGAATATACAAAAAAATAAAGCCTGCAACTAATTAGTGAGTTTATCTAGGATATAGGATACAAAATAAAAACTCAATTGTTTTTCTGTATACTAGCAATGAACATGTGGACACTGAAATTAAAAATACAGTACCATTCACAATCACTAAAAAAAGAAAAAGAAAAGAAAAAAAAGAAAATGAAAGAAACACTCAGGTGTAAATATAATTTCTTCCAGCAAATCACTGTATGATCTAGCCACATGGGTCTACTCTGTCAGGAGGGCAGGAACAGTACATTTGTTTCCCTCTCCAATGAAACCCAAATACCCAGCCAGTGCCCAGCACCTAGTAGGCATGCAATATTTGCTGCCACAGCTCGTACCCTGCTCTGTTTAAGATAGACTTTCTTCCCCTTATGCTCCTAATGGGAGCACCATCTACTAAAAAATTCCATCTCTCATTTCTGCCTTGGCAGGTCATGATTGCCAAGTAAGAACCAGGAAAACTGCTTCCGCTTCCACTCCCAAACACACTTATATTCTTACATTACACACAGCATGGATTGGAAGTGGCCTCTGCAGGTATCTCTTGGTTACCCAGGGGGACACTGGGTCCCTTCCACATCAGTCCAAGGGGCCCCAAGACTCAGTCCAAAGATCCCAGGCAATGATGTGAGACCATTGCCAAAGTTGTTCCATCCAGGCTCTGTGCTGGGAGGAGCTACAGATGTCCTCCCTCTGTCTGAAAGCTCAGTTGTGGAAAAGAATTGCCCATCTGTGCTAAAGAAAGTACTGTGGAGGAGAAGAGGCTACGCGAGATACATCAGGGCCCAGAGGGCATCCAGATATCTTTTTTCAAAAACTTTCCCCCTTTTTACTTCTGTGGGTAGAAAGTGAGTCTAATAGTCATTAAGCAAAAGCCAAGAATCTCAGAACTATCCCGATTCCTTTCTTTCTGTCACACACCACCACCAACCCCGCAGCAAAACCTGTTGTTCCACTTTCAGAACAGATCTCAAATCCAACCACTTCTCCGCACCTCCACCATCACCACCACTCGGGACCTGGCTGCTCTCACCACTCACTGGGTAACGAACGGCAACAGACTCGACTTCTCTCCCTGAGTCCTCCCTCAACACAGTAGTCAGGGTGAGCCTTTCATGATGCAACTCAGATCAGTCACTCACAATGCAACCAAGTCCTGACAATGACCTTAATGGCCTGGCCCCCTTCACTTCCCTGCCTTCACTTTCCACCATGTCCTCATCTTCTCCTCGCTCCACTCCAGCCACCTTAGCCACCTTTACTTGCTGTTCCCATGCCTAATGCTCTATCCCAGTTAAACCCACGACTCACTTCTTCCCCTCATTCACCACTACACTATGAGTTCACCAAAACCCTTTTTTTTTTTTACCTTGTGAGCACATGGCTGGACTACATTTCCCAGCCCTCCTTGCAGTTAGGAGTACACTGAGTGTGACTGAGTTCTGGGTGGGAGGGATGCATGCTTCTTCCAGACTGGCCCACAAAAACCTCCCCACAAAGTCCTCTCTCTTTTTCCTCACCCTCCAGCTGAATGGAAAGGAATCTGAGGGCCTTGAAGAGGGCAGAGCCACAAGATAGAAGAAGTGTGGGTCCCTCAATAACCACCAGGAAGGATGCCTGCTTAACCAGGAGCAGCCACATTGGAACTTTTCTATATGAGAAATAAAAGTTCTCTTGGGTTGATATGCTGAGATTTGGGGGGCTGTTTGCTATTCAACCTAACAATTTGGTCTCCTTCTCAATGAGGCCTTCTTTGATTGCTCTATTTAAAATGCTCCCAACGCTTCTTAGCTGACTGCCTTGCTTTCTTTTTCTCCACAGTCCTTATTACCATATAGCGTACTGTATATTTTATTTATTATTTTTTTCTCTACCTCCCCAAATTTGAATGTAAGCTGAAGGCAGGAATTTTTGCTTTTTTTTTGTCGTATCCCCTGGGTCTAGAACAGTGCTTGGAATGTTGTAGACAATCATGTGTTGCTGAATGAATGAATAAATGAATAAATGAATGAATGAATGGACTACATGGGCTCCAAGGTCAGAAAGGCCTTGGAGTGGAGGCCCACTCTGCCATTTACTACCTGTGTGACCTGGGGCAAGTTACTCTCCCTCTGTAAGACTCATTTCCTTCAACTGTAAAATGGGGGTAACAGTGCCTTCTTTATAGGGACTGGGAATAATTAAGATCATGAACATAAATCTTTCAGTATAGTGCCTGGAAACAGCTCAGGCTCCATACACGCTAATTACCAGCACTGTCAACTCAAGGCCAGAGGACAAGACTGGGTGTCAGGTGCTGGCAAAGTCACTGGTAGGGACACCTATCAGAGAGGAAGAAACTGAATGGATTATTTACATGCACAAACTCTTCTAGAAGAAATCGTGGCAAATACCTAGGTAGTGAAATTCAAGAGCAGCCTAAAAGTTCTCAGTAAATTGCAAACGATCAGAAAAACATGACAACTGGTGTCAGGGGTGATGAAAAGTCTGCAGAAAAGCACTGCTCTGGAGAGAGCACAACCCCAATGATGAGAGATCACTTTGTGCCTTTTAAGAAACAATTTTCACAGCAAAGCTCCAGAAAAGAGAGGCCTCTTGCATCATGAGGACAAGGTAATAAGGCTATAAAAATGGAACTCAAATAAACGACACACAGAGCCTACATGGGCCCAATTTTCCAGGAAAAACAGTGATCGCTACAGCATTCAGATGAGGCAGTCACACTTGTGCCTGAGCATAGCAAATAGCTTTCAGAAATCATTAGGCTGCAGAAAAGCCACTGAGTTTGCCAAATTAGCAGTGCCAGCTCTCACCTGCCCTTCTCTGTCATGCTCTCGTCTTTCTACTGACAAGAGGACACAGACAATCATAGCCAATGTCTGCACCTGCTTCACCATCTTCAAAATACACAGCATCCTGGAGTGAGCAGCACCTCAGTCAGAACCCTGCAGAACCCTGCAGAACCCTTCCATTGCCCTTTGTGTCTGCAGCCTGACCAACCCCTCTCCCAGGCCCTCTCAGCTTTCACTGGCTCAGACCTGCTCTCAGATCTCACCTCCTGGAACTCTCTGCAGTGCTGGGCCTTGTTGACAAACCCCCTTTTTGAAACTCCTTCTTCCTGTGGCCCCTCACAGCTCTCACAAACTCCCCCATACCCACCACTGCGATCCCTCTCATCTCTGTCTCTGGCCCCCTCTTCCACCTCTGCACCTCTAAACATTGGTACCCCAAGCCTCTACGATAGGATGTCTACCCACCTTTCTGGTTCTAGTGCCTGTTCTTCCCCTATATTGGAGGCAGGACAGCTTGGTGGTTAGAAGCAGATATTCTGGAGCCAGACCAACTGGGTCTGATCTTAGCTGTACAGCACTATGGTCTTGGACAGATAATAAATTGTTTTATGTCTATTTCTTCATCTGTAAAATGGAGACAATTATAGAAGACCTCACTTGGGTCACTGCAGGGATAAAATGAGCTAATATAGATAAAGGTCTTAGAACCATGCCTCGCACCTGATACACTCCATAATGTGCTAGCTATGACCACTATTACATGAGCCCATTGTTTCAGCCAAACCCCAAACATACACCATGTCCTTCTACCTCCGCTTCCTCTACTCAGGCCTTTCACTTTTCCTGTGAATGTCTATCTCAGCCAGGCCTTAAGGTGCTGACAAAAGCAACCACTCTTTAACACCTTTCTATATTCCCTCACCCCAGCTGTCCAATGAGATGGAATACCTCCCTTCTCTAACAGGGTGGGGCGGACTTCTCCCAGGGCCCTCTTCCTAATCTCGCTTGAATAATCATTAATTTTAGATGTGTCTTACCTTCCCACTCCCAGTTCATGAACTCCTCAGAAACAGTGGTGCATTGGGTTTTTTTCCCCAAATTTTTATCCCCTGTAACCTTATACACTGTAAAGACTCAGTCAACATTTGCTGGGTTAAGCTGAAATGCAGAGCCTAAAGCCTGGGTCTACATAACAATCTACAGAGACTAAAACAACAACAGATCAGCAGGACAGGGGAAGCCTCCCCCATCACCCCAAAGCCAACACAGATTTCAGGTTAAAAAGAATACAGGGGGAACTTCCCTGGTGGCACAGTAGTTAAGAATCCACCTGCCAATGCAGGGTACATGGGTTCGAGCCCTGGTCCAGAAAGATCCCACATGCCGTGGAGCAACTAAACCCATGCGCCACAACTACTGAGCCTGTGCTCTAGAGCCCGCGAGCCACAACTACTGAAGCCCGCATGCCTAGAGCCTGTGCTCCACAACAAGAGAAGCCACCACAATGAGAAGACTGCACACTGCAACGAAGAGTAGCCCCAGCTCACCGCAACTAGAGAAAGCCCACGTGCAGCAACGAAGACCCAATGCAGCCAAAAAAAAAAAAAAAAAAGAATACAGGGGACCAAGTCAGTCATATTTGTTTCTCAGTTTCATTCTAGCCATTTCCTAATGGCCAAGAAAAAGCCAACCTTTTGGCAAGTTTGCAACCTGCTTCCACTTCTAAGAGTATTCCTGACAGGCTCACTCTGTCTTAGGGAGACATGTTTTCTTCCCTCAAAAATCCTATTTACTTTTTGTTTTAGGCTACTTCTTAAAAACATCCTTAAGAAGAGATCATTGTTTATTTTATTTTGTTATTGTTTTAAATAAAGTGCCAAAGATATAGGGACACATAATTCCTCAATTTGAGCAGGTAGATTACTCCTTAAGAGAATGTACTGGGCTCACCTCCACACTTAAGAACAAAGAAGCCATGTATTACTTGTAAATACACAGCCTTTCACTTACATCTAGTTTCACATTACTGTTAGCCTGCTTCTTCATTCATGGAAAACACGACAAAGACCTTCCTAGCATTTAAAGTAAAATTTGAATATATCCTCATTCTTCTTGGAAAAAAAAATTCTGATTCTCCATCTAATCTTGGGCCATTGCCATTAGCTAGATAAATGCCAAACTAATGAAATGATTCTGTAATACACAAAGACGGCTTAATGCAGCATGAGCTGAAAGAGCAAAAATTAGAAGTAATCTAAATGCCCCATAACAAGCTCACGTCTTATTGAGGGCATTCCCTTGATAGTTATGCAGCCATCTTAAAGAAGCATGCTGAAAACGAGGGAGCCACATGGAAAAACGCTGAGGATATCATCTTAAGAGGAAAGGGGATGCAATGTGTAGGGATATGTGTTTGTGCCACTAAGGTTGCCCCAGCTGGGCAGATTAGGTCGCAGGTTAGAAGTAAGAAGCAAGGAAAATTAGGGGAAAGCTGAGAGAAAATCTCAGTAAACAGGGCCAGAGGGGCTGGTGGTAGGAAAATGTGAAGCCTGGGCATGGGGCAGGGACCCTACTTAGGAGTACAGAATGGGAGATAGGAAAGGCACCCCAAAGCCAAGGTCATTTCAGGAATTCTATCCCAAAGCAAGCAAGGGGAATGGAGAAGAGAACCCTTCCATTGCAGAATGAATCAATCTCTGGGTGAGAAAACAATTTTCAAACCCCTAAGATACTTAAAGTCAAGCCTTGGCCTTTCCACAGTGTTGCCACCAGGCTCCCACTGGAGGGCTCGGCCCTTCCTAAGCCTCTGAGGCTAATCCTGCCCCAAGGCAGGAGGGATTTAAGGGGCTCTAGCCTAGAACACAGGGATTTCGCTTGTTTGCTGATAGCCTGGCAGATAAAGAAAGTGAGCCCCAGTGAGAACAAGTATCTTGGCCAAGGCCACACAGAGAGTTAGGGGCTGAGCTGACACTTGAATCTGAGTCTGCCAGTCTCTGGGTTTAAAGCTCTTCCGTAGAGCAACCTGATACAAGACTGACAGACGAGGCAGACTGGCCCTGCACAAAGTGTCGGCACCCAGCTGCTGACAGAGATGCAGTGGCTTATGAACAGGTGAACCAACCAGAGCAGGGCAGGAAGATCCCAGGGACCCCAGGGTACCAACAGTTGCCCCCAAAGAGAAAAAGCCCCCTCTTGTACCCCAGTCCATGCCAAACCCCTGCCTCTAACCCCTCAGCCTCCTGTACTTTGTGGGTTCAGATGAAGCTCACTGCCCTTGTGGGCGTCAATGTTGGTCCCTAAAGGCATGACCTCCGGCACTGCTGTGCCACCTGTGGGTTCCACAAGACAACTCCATCTCTGGACAGGAGAAAAAGACTCCAGAGCTCCTCCCCACATCTCCCGTCCCCCTTGATTCCTACCCATACCCCTACCAGAATCCCCAGTCTAGACACCTCCTGCCAATACAAGAGGCCAAACTTCCGGTCTGGCATGTAAGGTCCTCCCTCAAGGGGCCCACACCACCTACCTAATCAGGCCTCCTAAGGCACCCACACCCCTCCCCAGGCTGGCCAGGGGCTGCCCTCTCGTCCCTTATGCCACCTCCAGAAGCCACGCTCTCCTCCCCTACCCCAAAGCCCCTAAGCGCCAGCTCAAGCTTTCTCTCATTTTCCCAGGCCTCCTCCAAACACATTGGTGTTGCTCACATTGTCTCCACTGAATGACCCCAATCCTTCGTGGGCTAAGTAGCCAAAGGGCCAGGCTCTCAAATATGGAACAAGCAGGTCACCCAGACACTGCCATCCAAAGGACTATGCACAGGAGGCCCTCTTTTCCCCCAAACCTGCTCTAAATACACCATTAGACATTCCATCATTTAAGTGGTTGTCAAACTCTCCCTTGATCCGCCTTGGGATGGGGTGCAAACATTAGGCAGTGATGCTGGACCCGGGACAGCTAGTAAGGGTCCTGATGGATTCGAGAGCATCCCACCTACCACAGCTGCCTGCAATGAGCACTTCCTGGGCTCCTACTACGTGCCAACCAGTGGGCACAGGGCACAAAGACACAAATCCAAATGCACCAGTTGTTGCAGGAATTCAAACTCAAAGAGAAAAGAGTGAGATAAGCCTCTCTAATGCAGCGTGACAAATGTCACCCAGAGAGAGAAGGCACAGAGGGAAGAACAGCAAGGAAGAGAGGCAGCCAGGATTCAATTCAACAGAGAAGGGGCTGGGGAAGGGCTCAGAGAAAGCCGAACGGTCCCTGAGGGGTCATCAACAACAACAAGAAGCAGAAGAGTCGCCAGCATGTACTGGGTGCTGACTGTCTGCTGAGCACCGCACGGAGCACTTCGCTTGCTCTACTGCAAACTCATGCACTTATTCATTACGGACCCCTACTACCTGTCAGGCACTGTTTTAGGCACTCCGGATAGAGCAGTGAACAAAATAAACACGCGTTTCTGCCCTCAGAACTACTGAAAGAAGACAATAAACCAGATAAATAAGTAAAATGTATTGTATGTTAGATGGCAGTAAGCACTAAGAAGTTTAAAAGTAAAGCAAGAAAGGGAGACAGGGAACGTGGGGGTGGGGCAGTGGGCTGGGTAGTACAACTTTAAACCAGGTGACATTAGAGAGAAGACCTGGAGAAGTTGCATGAACAAGCCATCCAGATATCTGGGGGAAGAGCATTTGAGGCAGAGGGGCAGCCAGTGGAAAGAGCTTGGACAGGAAGCATGCCTGGCGTGTTTGAAGAACAGCAAGGATTCCAGGGTGGCTGGAGTGAAGCGAGAGAGGGGCAGGCAGGGTCAGTGCAGACAGCCGCACAAGCTGTGCACTGCACAGCTCAGGAGGGCGCCGCTCACATGCACCACAGTGCGCTACGCAGAACCCAGTCTGCTCAAATCCTCACCAGGCCCTGGGGTGGGAGATGAGGTCAGAGAAGTACTGGGAAGCCATGTGGGCCAGGAGAAGGCTTTTCCTCTGAGTGAGACAAGAAGCCACTGTCAAGAGGGTTCTGAACTGGAGGCATGACCTGAGCTGAGCCCCTCTGCACAGGATCACTGGGCAGAGAGCACAGAGTAAGGAGGCAAGGTTGGAAGCAGAAAACTGCTTCGGAGGCTATTGCAATAATCACACTCAACTATGTATCGTATTACCCTCACAATCCCACGAGGATGGTTCAATGATCACTCTTTCATAGATGAAGAGATTAGGCTCAAGAGAGATTTGGTAACTTGCCCAAGGTACTCAGCTAGGCAGTGGCAGATCGGCCAGGACTGGGAAGCAGGGGATGAGTACATTCCAGGTGGAATGAATAGCATCAGTCATAGAACAGGAGATTGGCAGGGCTTGCACACTTGGGGAAAACGGCAAGGGCAGTCAGCGAAGGCCTGTCTGTGCCCTGGCCACTCTCACACAGAAGCCTGCTAGCAGTGTCCAAGCCAGCACTGCTCCCTGGACCAGAACCACCACTGCCTAACCCAGCTCCCTCTCCACGCTTGTCATCCCCACCTCAGTCCACAGGCAGCCAGAAGAGTCCTTAAAAAACATAGATCAGATATTATTTCTTGCTCTCAACACTCCAGTGGCTTCCCTTCATGCCAGGTGACCAGTAGACCCTCAAGTGATGCTGAGTGAATGGATGACTCCCTCATCCCTGCAGCCTCATCCAGGCCATCCTGTCTCAAAACAGGGGGAAGGGCCACCTCTTCCATCCCTCCTCAGCAGGTGTGGCCAGGACACCATATTAACCAGTCAAAATACACGAGGAGAGAGGGCAGCATTCAGACAACCTTGGGGCAACTTTCAGATTAAATTTTTTTAAATAAAATTGCTTACTCCAGAGCAACCTGGACACACTTTACCACGTTGTGGCCAAGGAAAAGGAGGTCTGCAGATATGCTTGGGCTGGAAAGACTGTAACAGGTGCCTTGTCCCTCTGAGTTTCCAAAGCTCTGGACAGCACTCTCTGTGGGGACGATGTCTAAGAGCTGCATGAGCTGGACAGAGTCATAGGCACTAGGCAGCCAATGAAAGGCCTTCCTCACCAAGTCTGTGAATTTAAGGGGTGGAGCCAATGACTATTCTCTTCTGGAGGCTAAATACAGTGGACCAAAGTTATCTCAGAAACTAGGGAAAACTATGAAATTAAGGCTGAAACAAAACTTTACCAAATGTGAGCTGGCGACTATTTGGAACAAAAGGATTTATTTCCCAAGGATCACTACCACTCCCATGGTTTAAACCCAGGCCCTCTGAGGGTCAACTCCTTCCAAAGCCTTTGTTATAAGCAGAAGGAGATACATAAACATACACACATACACTTGCATGTATGCAGATATATTTTTACAGGAATGGTAACAACACCG